CAGGAAGCTGACCCCACCCGAGAAAAATGATGCAACCGTGGAAAAGGAAGCTCTGGCAGTTAAGTGGGCAGTCCTGGAGCTGCGTTATTACCTCCTCGGCCGCAAGTTCACCCTCATAACGGATCACGTGCCCCTCCAATGGATGGCCCGGGCCAAAGACACTAATGCCAGGGTGACACGGTGGTTCCTCGCGCTCCAGGACTTCCACTTCGTGATTCGCCACCGCGCCGGAGCAGCCAACGCCAATGCCGATGGCCTTTCTCGGAACTGGTCAGCCTTTGCAGGTCTGTCAGAGGTCACTCCCCACCCAACCCCAATATCCCCCTTGTTAACTCCGTATCTTTCCACCAGGACCAGGACGGGGGGGGGAGTGTGACGAGCGTCCCGAGCTCACATCAGCGTTACCCTGGAAATGGACGAGGAACACCTGCACGCGCTCATCACGGGCTGATCGGTCACAGCTGAGAGTCATCAGCCCGCGGCCAGATAAGCCGCGGGAGGCCCGACGGTGGGGGAAGACATACTCTCCCAGAAGCTGAAGTCTAACGTGTTCTGTCCTTTACATTCCAGAAACCAGCCCGTGACCAAGCAGCCCGAACACGAGCGCCCCACGGACTCGCCAAACTGGAACTCGCTCACGGAGAAGCACCGACTCACTCCCGGAGAAGCATCGACTCACCTCAGCACCCACCTCCCTCACTTGGACACTTGAGCTGTGAATAAATCCACCCTCCGGGGTATTTATTTGAGCTCTTCTTGTCGCGTGTTCCTTCCACCCCGTTACAATATATATATATATATATATATACACACACACTGACTTATAAATAAATAAAAAAACACTAATATTGTCAAACAAAATTGTGTGTTATGACAAAGACTTCCAGCAAAGTGCAAATCTTCTCATAGGCCACTCAGAAGTGTTTCACTCCGGTTGCAAGCGATATCTGCAGTTGGATTCTCAACTTACAAACACTTTGTGAGATCTTTCTGTTGACCCTATAAGGATAAATAAAGGTGACTTGACTTGACTTGACCCATATAGCACAGACTACACAATGTTACTATCCTATCCAAGACAATTATAAACTACGTTAAGTCTGTCTACACAAGCAACAGGATTGAGGATTTTAAATGTACTCCTGTCACAGACCTCACTGTGAGTACACAGTTTGTTTGCCTTTGAGTCAGTTTATTTGGGAATGGAGACACATGGTGAACAGTGTTTGAATAAGGCATCACAACGTATTGTGCCAAGCAAACACAGGGGACAGATCCTGTCTGTTACAACAGACAGGTTCTGAAGAACAGTCACATGTCAGGGTATTTTTATAAGATTACAGCAGGTTGCTCACCTGAGGGAGGAGCTTTTGTGGCCGTACAAATAACCTACAATATTCAAGTACAAAAGCTGGTTGTTGAGGGTTTTAACTGAGGGTCAAGCTGTGTGAATGTGCAAATCCAAACATACAAACAAACATGCTCTTCACACAATATTGGGTCCTTTTGGGTAGGAATTAAAGTACTAAAGTAATCATGATTAAACTCAACTCACTCATTAACCTACATTCACAGCCCAAACAAATATCACCATCATTGGCTGCATAATTTGTAGATTTGTCAGCTCTGCAGTCTAGAAATCACCAACGTTCTACCATCCTTGAAATTATGGAACAATTATAAACATTATATGAATATGACTAGTTACACTTATATGACTGAAAGGAACCATAACGCAACACTGCAACTACTGACCTCTTTCTGAGTGCATTCACCATCTGACTATAGGTGAAGCTGATGAGCATATTCAAACAGAAAGGGGTGGACAGAGCCAAGACTAACACCAAAGTCCGCCGCATAACAAGTCTGCAGTGTTTTTAGGGTAAATGTGTACCATTTAAGCTAGCAAATAAGACTCCCAAATAAGCCCCCAATGTTTTTTAAATGTTGATGCTTGTAGCAAGCTTGTGAGACTTCCCTTTAAGCCTTATAATCCCCAGTCACTTAGCCCTTACATTTTTTCCTTCACTTTTCCCAATTTGTCCCCATAATGAAAATAATGTTGGTAAAGATCATGAATGTGCTCTTATCACAATGAATTCACTTAATGTTTTTTGTCAGAAGTTCAATGTCTTCTCATCTTAGTTGGCCTATTAGGAACAATACGGGTCAACTGCTGTATGCTATTTCTTATAAGACCATTTGATAAAAAGTTAATTTTATGATTTATAATTACGGACAGGACATTTATCTTGTGACTCAAGTAGCTTATTAAACATTTTACTTACAGTAAAACAATCATGAACCAAGCTGTTGAGCTCGGTAAAGCCGCATTTGACAGCCACAGTCTAATAGATTACCCCTTTAGATTCAATATGAAACTGTTACTAAAGCAAAGCAGTGATTATAATGATGCTGAAGGATGTGTAGTTTGAAAATTGTGTCATTTATGTTGGTGCATGGTACTGGTGTTATCTCTTATACTCGTCAGTGCTGTTTGTCTAACCGTTTATCCTCCCAATCTCATCTACATCGCTATAAAATATAGCATTCGGTGTCTAATTCAAATGCGTCCGTTTTGTGGTCTGCGAGAATCACGCATATGATCTGCACTGTGTGAACAGGTGTAGTGCCGAAATTTGCACCCTGCCAGATTATGCACCCCCTAGTATTGGTAGGTTTCGGAGTAGGTGTGGGGGAGGGGTTAGGATTAGGGGTGGGGTTGGGATTAGTCAATCAGGTAGCGACTTCAACGAGGGGGTGCATAATCTGGCAGGGGTGCAGAATTCGGCACAACACCGGAGCCGGCCGTTGTGCACGCTGCGGCGGGACGCGTCTGGTTTGACTTCTGAATTCTTGCTTGAATTCTGGTTTCCAATGGAAAGCATATTTACGCTGTCTGAATCGTTCCATATCCCCTATATCCTACACTATGTGTATGGTGCAGCGTCATGCCCATTCAAAGTGTGGGGCATGTGCCCCCTCAGATTTTTGAACCAAGTGTATTTTGAATGCAGCTTCCAAAAGACAAAAAGACAAAAAAATATCCAAATAATATTTGTTATATTTGATTCAGTGCGGCACATCACTAACTGCTAAATTCAAATTTGCATCCGTGCTTTGGCTGGCGCTGAGCCAGACACATTTTTACAGCGCTGCACATTATAACCAATCACACACGATTCTGCTGAGCTTATGAATGCAATGGCCAATCAGAGGCGTTCAGGTGAGTCATCGCTGAAACGCTGGTGTTTTGTTCAGTGCTTGACAGAATTCTGCTCTGTGGGGTAATCTCTCATCATAAACAAAGTGCAGATGTGCGTACGAATGCAAGTAATATTCATTTCACAGTGTAAACGGCTTCAGTGATTATAATGGGAGTTTTTGAGAGTGCTTCAACTAGACTAAAGTCAACAGAAAAGCAAGCATGGGCTGCTGCGTGCACTCCCGCGGGAGTGCAGGTCTCTATTCTACTGCATCTATCTTTGTGATCATCACCCATGCAGTTTGAGCTTCCTACAGATACTTATGTAATCGATCTTTTCAATTAAAGTCACCATGAAATCAAAATTGAAAATTCTTATTTTTTAATGGAATACTGTAGTGTTTATTATAAATAATTTATCCGTGCACTTCATTATTTTTTTTTAATTCATGTGCCCTCTTAATCTTTAATGAAAAACGTTAACCTCCCCTCCCCCTCAAAAGGACTCCTCTACTCTTTCGGTCACGAGTCATGGCACAAGGGCGGAGCTAGTGACTGAGGGGTAAACGCTAGGATAAATGACAGGGGGAAATGCTGAAGCTGGTGCTTCACTTTATAGCACTGACACCAGTCATGAAGGAGTACGTTACCCCTAAACATTGAAAAGATATTAGGATATTACGACAACATTACTCTTAGGACATCTCAAACTAATTTTTTTCATGAATATGACTTAACCTGATGGAGGACACGCTCAGTCATTCAGGCAGTCTCTCTCTCGCTCTCGCTCGCGCGCGCTGTTTAGGCATGTTTTGTGCTGTTGATGGTCGTCGTCATCCTTAAAGGGGTCATATGATGCGATTTCAATTTTTCCTTTCTCTTTGGAGTGTTACAAGCTCTTGGTGCATAAAGAAGATCTGTAAAGTTGCAATACACAAAATAATGTTCTTTTTAGTAACATCATATGACTATAACTGTATAATAATTAAAGGTGCCAAAACTTTAACAGAATCATTCAGGCCCTAATATATTACAAAATAGCCTAGCCTACTACAACTAGGCCTACTATAAATATTATATATACTGTACAAATAATACAATAATATACAAATTACTATTACTATAATATTACAATATATACAAATAAATACTAAACATACAAATTACAGCAGAACAGAATAGAACAAAATATAATAAATTTTCTTTAGCTTATTTTCTGAAAGCTACATGGGCAATCAAATTAGAGGAAACTGTAGGCTACTTTGACTACAGAATATAGCTAGTTTTTAAATACCTATAAAACATAACAGGTTGCATTTGATTTATTAACATATTCGTTTTAAAAATTCTTACCAATGCTCAGTCTAGTACAGTAGCCTACTGGATTAGAAATGTAGCGTGACTGTCAGACAACACGTTGTCCCAATTAACTCAAGAACATTAAGATAAATAGGCTCCAGATAAAAAAGTAATATAACAGTACCAAACATGTACATTGTCTCGTGATTTTTTATTTTACTTTACTTTAAAGCAAAGCGACAAGTGCCTGGTACATGGTCTTATTTCCTTTAGCCCATATCTAGGCCTACGTCTGGGACATATTACAGCCATGGACTAACCCTCAGCTGGAACAGAGTTAATTTAATTTAGCTTGTGGTTTGTACATTCTATATTGTTTAAACTTATATGACAGATATTGGTTTTAGACTGTCTGACATTTAGTCTACATGAACAAAAAATAAGCATGGATCATTCAGTATTAGGTATAACGGCAAACAGAATGAAATGGTTTTACCTTGCAGCCTTTAGGCTCTCCTGTAAACTGTCCGATTTCTTTGTCTTCCATTTAAATAATTTGAGCGTTCCTTTGCCGCGGTCATCTTTCTCCACGGACTCTTTGAGATTTGCTTCACTTTTAGAAAACAAACTCCTCAAAGATTTTTTGGTGGAAAAACTCTTTTTCGCCATGGCGAAACTTCTGAACGATCACTGCAGAACCACGCGAATTACTTTAGTAAAAGTTTATTACGATGTCGAGGCACGTTGAAGAACCTACTGCTCTCTAGTCCTGCCCACACAGTCAAACCTTACGCTCTCTCACGAACAGATGCTCTGGCTGTGCATGTCAAAGCTAGTGAGCCACCTACCGAGTGTTTTTGTATAGGCGCGCTCGAACTCAGCGACTGCGCGCACCCATGATTTCCATAAATCAAGATGCAGTTCTCTAGGTTATGAAACACAGCTATAGACTCTACTTCATTAGTGTTAGGGTTACTGACTCATCCAAGTGAATCGAATCTTTTGAATCAGATTAGTATAATTCGATCAGCGACCATTTGTGCAGGTTATGTGTGAGTAAATGAATCATCATCCTAAATTGAGAAACTTAGACTATACATTTTCTTCCATTCTGATCAACTGATCAAGTTGTGGCAACAAATAACAGCCTAAATAAATTAAGCGTTTCAATAACGTTATTTCAGGGTCACCAGTAGCCTAATCTCCACAGCTCGGAATAGTTTATTATTATTAGGCTATTATTATTATTATTATAGCTCTTTGCGAACGAATTCGCGAAAGAAACACTAAAAGGCAGTGGTTGATTATAAAAATTTGATTGACTATAAAGTATTGGACTGTTTTAGTGCCTAAAACACAACTGAATACAATTAATTTCTACTAAATTGTATTTGAGATATTTGTGAATTAGATCAAGTAATGCTGAGTGAATATGACAATTTGTGTATTATTCCTCACCTCCAGGTATTTTAATAAAGGGGCTCACTATAGGGTTATTGCTTAGTCAGCTTGGTTCTGGTTCTCAAAACCCCCAAAAGCTTGTTCTCCATCGCATACTCATTGACGAGACATGCAGATAGTGATAAGAATTGGTTAATAAAAAAAATAAAAAAATAAAAAAGGGACTGAAGTCAACAGCACATAAACGCCAGAATGTAAAATGAGTTATTTTATGCATTTAAATGGTTTCATGTTCGTTTGTACTTTACAAAATAAAAATAGCGCATGTTTTCTAGTATAAGTACACTGTGTTCATATTTACTTGTGCATTAAATTACAAAAAAAAAAAAAAAACACAGCTTGCGCCTTATTGTGTTGGCCTATATTGTATATTGTGATCTCGAATTGTACAATATTTTAGTAGCCTACATGCATTTGAGAGACGTTCTTTAATGTGATGCTATACATAAATGAATGCACTAATCACCTTTTTGGTAATTTAATGACTTAACTGACGACAGAACTACATTGTATGCTCATAGATTATTGCAGGCATTATTTATGATGAAGCGAGAGCGTGCGCCTTATAATCGCGTAAAGCTGAAGAGTGTGCCCCATGAGCACGGTAAAACAGCTGTCAGGAGAGGAAAGTTTGTTTTACTGACATATAGCCTACATACAACATCTCATCAGACCGCAGTTCACTGTTGTTCTACTGAAGCTCATTTGACACGTTCCTTAATTTCCGCCTATACGAATTAGCAAATTTGGCGTCTGTCTTTTTTCACTCTCGTTCGGAAAAAAAGCCTATCGCCAGCATGGATTACATGACTGACAGGTAAACACAGACGCAATAAAGACATCGAATGGGCGATAATGTAAATAGAGGATTTGGTTAATTTCAGTGAAGCTCAGATAACCGATCTGTAACATTAGCGTACAATGTCGGTTAGTTGTATAAATATGTAGTTATTTTATCACCTTAACGTCTGATTCAAGAGGAGATAATAAATACTGGTTATATTCTAGCTTTGTTATATTTTATGTAGGTTGAATTCAGGTAAAGTGGGCCGTTTAAGCTTGATTGTAGCCTGTGCTAAATTGTTTTACACTTTCAGAGCACAACAATGCATTTTAATTAAAGGGACACCATTTCTTTAAAACATATTTTTTTATGTAAGGTGGCTCACTAAATGTAAACAATTTTTATAGTGACATGCCCTATTTTGCAAACAACACATTATATGAACTGTATTCAAATCGAAATATTATAACTGGACTTTAAAGTTAACAAAAGTTAAAGTTAAGAAAAGGAAATAAATAAATAAATAAATAAATAATAACAATAAAAACATCTAGGTATCTAAATGATAAGTTTTACAAAAATTGGCCCACTTTAACAAAGTTCAAGTTATTTTGTTGTTGTTACTTTTCTTGTACAGAACTTTGGGATACACTAGCTGTAGGCCTATTAGAAACGTGCTCTATAAATAAATGTGACCTTGACCTTGACTATTCAGCTACTGTCCCTCAGTACTACTATTTACGCTACTGTAAAATCTTTCTTTAGTTTTATTCTTTTGGACAACTATCAAAACGTTTGTTACTAGTGTCTGCTATAGTTCTATGTAGTCTATGACTCAAACGTGTACAGCAGCAGTGCCTTTCTAAGCAACACTTTGAAAAACAAGTGTGTTGTGGCCATATTTGAAAATATAACAGAAATAGGCCTAATTATTCAAACAAATATAACCGCACCTATTACTGGTACTTGTGCTTCTTTTCCTACAAGAAGTAATGACATTTATTGGTCAGTAGATGGCGCCACTGAACAATCTTTTTTTTAGTATGCCCATATGCACAAATGAAGAGGTAACCACTTAATATAAAATATATATATTTTTTATTTGTAGTATTATTGTTTTTTATAAAACTAATTTTAATCAATCTTAAGCGTTGAATAGTGACAGATAATATTTGATCAGATTGCCAGACATTTGTACAAAAGGAATAAGGTTAAAATGTAAGGTTATTTTGAATCCAACATGCAACTAATGAGGTAACGAGGCCTACGCTAGCCTACGCGTAATATGGAGATTTACTTGTAAATATTAATACGAATAATATGGAGATTTACTTGTAAATATTAACGTGCATTTCTATAGACCTGGCTGATTTTAAAATATCATTTGGCAGCCCCTAAAATGGGTCGTATTGACAGTACCTGAGCGGTTGAAGAATAGGCTCATTCAAAGACGTGCATTTATTGCTTGGACGGAGCAAGAACACCTAAAATGCATGTGTAGATTCAGTCGAGTGATAAAGTTTACCCTCTTCAACTTAATGCTGTTGAACTGAATTTATGGAGCAAACTATTTGCTAAAATAACCATAACATTTACAGCACCGCTGGCTGAAATAAGCGTGCGGTTCTGTCCATCAGATGCGCGTGAAAGCTGCATGTGTTACTATAACAAACACTGCGTGTTTTCTTTCAGAATCATCATTGGCTGGTAGAAATACAAAAATAGGTTACATAACAGTTTTTTACTAAAAATGAAGATAAGGTAAAGGTGTGAATAATTACATTTTAGACACATTGTCAGTAATTTCACTAATGAAAATAAAGCCCTAGGAGAACTGTGGTGCGTCTTTGATCAACACACAGCGGTGTTTCATTAATGAATCCACGTTTTTAAACGAAACGAGTGAATCAATGAAGTGAACCATTCATAAAGGCGGCCACTTGCTTCGTTTTTGAATGAATCAGCTGTTTGAACGAATTGATTGAATGAATGATTGAATGACTCACTGACTTAAGACAGGTATTTGCCACCACCTACTGGCGCTTTTAGTTGTATATAGAGTAGGCTATCATTAAAAAAAAAAAATAATAATAATAATTCACTATTTATTTGAATTTTTGTATGTTGAATTAAAATATTTCTATCTAAAGCTACTTATATTTCAGCTACTTTTCTGTAATGTCTATTCAGTGTTTTTTTTTCTAAATGAACACAATGATAACTATTATATTTAATAATAACTTTATCTTTAATCGGCACATGATGTGAATGTCAATTAATTAATCTCATTAATTTGAGATTAATTTGATTAATTGGTACATTAAGTAATTAATTAGATTTTTTTAAATAATCACTTGACAGCCCTATTTAAAACATAAAAAATACGTACAGTGCAATGTAGGCCTAGGTGTTCTACGCAACACAACCAAAACCTTCCTACATAGCGATACCATCCTTTGACCTGTAGATTGCGCTAATTCACCAAAAATGTGAAAGCCTAGTAGTTGAATCTCTGAACTGAATTTGTGGTGTAGGCCTATCAACGATCTACGCTGTCAAGTGGATTTCTTAAGAAACCGATCCTGGACCAGAAAAAAATAACATCAGTCATTGATATTATATTATATTCATGTATCAAAGAGCAACAATTAGCGTATAGCCTAATTATATAATATGTACGTAATTATACAACATACAATGCATAAAATATGAAAGTGATTATACAACCAGCAGTCAAATACAATGATCTTACACACACCTATGGTTACTCATATGTATTCAAACAGAGTTGAGGTGGTACTTTTTCAGCAGTTATAGATTGAATTCAGTCTCTGGTTTCAGGTGTAACTGAAATAAATTCTATAGTACTGACAGGGCTTGTTTGCAGAATAACGCCTATCGATCTGAACCACAAAAGAAGAACATTTAAACAACAATAATGTTGAAAAAATGAACTAGTTAAATGATAATAACTGCAAGTCCACCCGAATTAGGTATTGCTCTGACTAGAAGCATCATAATAACCTATACATTCAAACTGAGGTGAAATCAAAGCAACGCTCTCATGCCAAGTCAAAGTTGAACGAGTTCAACTTTCTTACTTGATATTACACTCATTTGATAAGGATTGTAATATCAAGGAAGGAAGTTGCTCTAAATTAACTTTGATTTGGCACAAGAGGCGCTGCGTTGAGTCTAAATGTATTATTTCAGACGGACACTTTTCCTCTACTTGATAAGTATTGTAAGTCTGTCTAAAATGCTAAAAGTAGAAATAAACACTTGATGTGTTTAAATATGAGTCGTGTTTTTCCGTAGATCATATGCTATAGTTCACTCCATCATCATCATCTGCTCACGCTTCTGTCACTTGAAACTCTCATGACTTTGAGATATGATGGAAAATGTCCTGCCCTTTTCCATTCAACAAAGTGCATTGTGATCGCTGGCTGTTAAACTCAATTACAAAAACAAAAAACAAAACAAGTTATTTTTTAAAATGATATAATTTAAATAAATAAATAAATACATACATA